GAGATGATTGTGAATTTACCTAGATTGGAATATACTTTTAGTGTGGCCCAGATCCACAATGCTGTGAGGGAGCAGCCTGCAAAGAATTGGCATAGAAGAAGTGGACGTGGGCCGATGTCGCGTTTGCTGACCCAATAGAGATGAAAGCTGAGAAAGAGAAGTGATATTACGAGAGTGCAGACACCTAGGATGAGTAGAGGTGGAAGTACACCTGGGTCTGGTGGTGGGCGGACTTTGACAACAACGGCATTGAGGGCAACCACGACGAGACTGCAACAGGCAATTAAGAAAATCAGACCAAGGGACGCGATTGCTCTGATTGGTTTGTGCATGGACAACCCTTTGAATTAGAAGGTAAAATTTAGAACTTGATTACAGATAAAGGTATATATATATATATATATATATATATGTTTCTAAGGTAGATGAAGACAGGCTCGAAAAAAAAAAGTGAGAAGGAATAGGAAGAAGAAGAGGAAAAGGAAGAGGAAGAGGAAGAATAAGAAGAATAAGAAGAAGACGAAGTAGAATCCCTGATCCTTAGATAGACGTACATACAATAACTCTAGTATTTTTTATCGCTAACCTGCACAGGGCACCAGCACCCCTTCTTAAAGCCATATGTATATATATGTATATGTGTGTGTATATATACAATATTCTTCTATTTATTTGATCTTATTTTATAGTTGTATATTTATACACATACACTTTGGTCTCCTTTTCTACATCTCCATAAAATTGTCAATTAACTATCGTTTTCACAATTGAGCATGATTGTGTATGTATTAAAGACAACAGTAGAAGAAGACAACAGTAGAAATACAGAAAGACAGAGTGAAAGCAAAGAAAGAAAGCCCATTAAGTTGATTTATTGGTTGATTTGATTTACTCTGCTTTGCTTTGCTTTGCTTTGCTTCACTCTGCTTTTGCTTCACTCTGCTTTTGCTTCACTCTGCTTTTGCTTTTTTTTGTAAGCAGCTAAAGATTTATGGATAATGCAGGCAGATATGCAAAAAAAAAGAAAGAGAGAGAGAAACAGAGAGATTTTCTTTTATCTTGATAGTTTGGATCTGCATTTACTATGCTTATTTCTTACTCCCCTATTCGTTCGTGTGTCTGTTAAAAGGACCATTCGGATATTATTTTTTTCTCTATGATCTGAAGGAGACTTTCTAGACTCTTTAATGGGAGACTGACTTGTGTATGTATGTATACACAAGAAACAGCCTTCAATTCAATTCAATTCAATTCAACACAGAATAATACTAATAATCCAATTTAACCCAAATATATGTATTGACTACAGAAACAATAGAGCGAGAGACATGAAGCGAAATAAAGGTAAAGATAATAAAGATAGATAAATTAAGAGAGGTCTGAACTTACAAGTTGAGTCCTTAATCGAACGACGGTGTCCTTACTTTTTCTTTTTACTATATATTCTTGTAATTCTTCATCACTTATTCCAATCCCGCCACATCACGCTCCAAGCAGGCGGTCTTCTATATATATATTATCTTTTCTACTGTGCATCGCATACCAGACTTGCTTTATAGCTCTGAGCATGATAATTATATACAGATATGTACATATGTACACAAAAACCCTCTCTCCCCCCTCTGTCTCTTTCTCCCTCTATCCACGGAGGGTCACACGCAGATAAATCCTTACTACAGCTGACTTCATTTTATTTTTATTTTTACTTTTATACTTTCTTAGCCCGGAAAACCTTCTTTACCAGGGACCTAATAAAACAAACCACACCAAAAGCACAAGGGGTGGAAGCTTTTATTTTATATTATTTTCTTATCACCACCATATACAATTTTATAATATGGTCAATCCAGTAACGCCCTCGAGATTAGCTGCAATATCTGCTTACCGTAACCTGCTCAAGACACAGAGAGATGTGTTTAAAAGTAAGTGATTAAGAGTTTTTGTTGTTTTTTTTTTTTTAAAAAAAAAGACATTTTGTTAATTGAGCGTAGATGACAATGGTGCAATCCAAGGTAAAAAGATAAAATAAATAAAAGACAGTTCGAACAGAATCGAAATCAACATCATGTGCAATTCATCTAAAAAAAGCAAGCAAGAGTAGCTGCCAAGAAGGAAACCCATGCTAGGTTTATGCAGTACAAAGAAGAAACAAACTGTGACGTGCTAGAAGAGGCTAGTATATAAAATAAATAAAATTTCTTAAAAAGAAAAAAAAAAGATGTCAATTATCTTGGCTTGTCTGTCTGTAGAGCTTATTTTCATAATCAAACAAGTTGTAATAGAAACTGGCCCTGGCTGAACAAGTGGTATCACTGCTGAAAAAGAACGTGAGCCTGGCAGAATTGAAGAACGAGGGCGGAATTGGTAACCTATGAAAAACTTAACCACCGCTGGAAAACGAAGAACGAAGAGCAAAAAAAAAAAATCGAAAAAGTGAAATCGAAATCGAAATCGAAATCGAAATATTTGTTGTTGTTATTTCTGTTCTGTTCTTAGCTTCACTCTTTTGGATGTCCTTTGTCATTAAATCACTCCTACAAATAGTCTTTTTAATTTTAATTTCCCTCAGAAACAAGAAAGAAATAATAAAAAAAAGGCGCCCACAATGCCCTGATTAATAAAGAGGTTCTATAATCGCTATTATCAAATCACCATCTCTAAATACATCACAAGAAGTTCAAGGCAAAAAGAAGATCAAATAAAGACATATAAATAAATAAATAAAAAACTTCCTATAAAGATGTCCTTGTCTGTGTCTGTGTATATATTGGTACAACAATATTGGCTAATATATATATATATATATTTCTTGTGTTCAAAAACAAACAGCGGTACCTCATCCGACACATAATCTATAATAATAATAATAACAAAAATATTACTACTATCGTCTTTCTTTTCTTCTTCTTCTTCTTCTTATTTTTTTTTATTTGTACTTCTTTACATATGGACCGACCTCTGTCACCAAACGATCCTCAGTGGTCTCAAAATATTGCTGAGAATCTTATATTACGCTCTACCTCACCAACACCAGCCCAAGCACCAATCTCGGTATCTCAACTTCCACGCGTCCTCGGCCCTCGACCATTCCTACCCGAGCACACCTCCGAACCGCCATTACACACATCCCAACTACAAACACCTCATTCACCAGAGCAAGATTCCGTTCACCAAAGACCCTCTCAGTCAACTCTCCGTGACCCAAACGCCCCAGACCCTTCTCCTGGCTTGTGGGCCAACCGTCCCAAAGATCTCGAACAGCCCTTGGATTACACCCGACAATACCCACATGCATATGAACAAGACCAACTGTGGAACAGACGCCAAAAGGGAACGCCCTGGTGGTCAACCGACGATGAAGACGGGTTTTATTCTGTCGGCTGTCTCTTGTTTTTATTTGGATTTATTTGTCCGCCTCTTTGGTGGATAGGATCATTTTGGCCCAAACATGCACGAGAACTGGGTGGTAAAATGGCCGAACGTTGGCAGCGTCTCAATCGATGCATGTCTATTGGTTTCAGTATCCTTTTGATAATCGCACTCATTGTGCTTGGCGTATTGGAATCCAGAGAGAAACACTAAAAAACATCGAATGTTAGCAGCGAAAGGCCAGCCCAAGCTCTCTCGTTTTCTTTTACTTCTTCTCTTTAGTCCATCCCTTCCATTTATTTATTTCATTTCATTTTATTTCATTTTTCTAATCTGTACTTCTTTACTGCTCAACATTTCATAATTACCCTTATTCTAACCCCTTTCATTTTTAATTTCTGGATGCAGCACTGGGAACTAAATCAGGCCTAGCCCAGCCCAGCCCTCTCTCTCTTATATATATATATATCTGACACTTGCTGCACCCTTTGCTTTATAAATTTACATGTATATGTATATGATTATAAAGAGTGTACATATTATATTAAAATATATACATAAAAAAGAAAATGTGTGATATCAAAAATGTCGTAAAGGAACATACAAACCCAAAAATTACTAACATTTTAAGTTTAAATACTATTTAAGCCAATTTGACGATATTTGAATATGAACTTATTTTATAAGATGCAAGAAGTGTGTCTACCCACAGATTATGTATGTATGTTTCTATTTTTTTTCTTGCGATTATAAATACCCTTTTGACGCATAAAATAAATCTATATATAAAAAGAAGGAGGGAAGGAAAGAATATTGACAGGACTCACATAATATACATATTCAGGCACAATATTTAGTTTGTCAAAGGAAAAGAAAGATAAAATTAAAGGATCTCCAATCGATATATATTTTTTTTTATTTCAGGTCGCACTTTCCTGGTTCTTCTTCTTCTTTTGCACTAGAAAGAAATACGATGGAACATAGGAAGAATGTTCTTCAAATATACTTGTTTTAAGACTTAATTAATCCTAATATTTTAGGAGGTATCTATTGTATATCATACAAAAAGGTCAACAAATGACGCAAATCCATATATCCTATTTCAAAATCTTCTATACTCCATAAAACATAGAAGCATAATACACCCCCCCAAAAATAAATAAATAAATAAAGCCTCTTTTTAGACATAATTGATTTTCCTTTATTTCTCTCTGACGGTATATCAAATCACAAAAGGAGATCCCCTTTCTTCTTTTCTGTAGGGTATCTCGATCCTTTGGACAAGGTAGACAAGCTTACCACAATATTCTTCAGTATTGATTTTATTATCTCATTTATATTTCCTCTTAAATACCTCTAGAAACAAAGCCTTTATTCTTTTTAAAAACTTTAAATGTGGTTAGTGTTGATATCTAAAAAGAAGTCTCAAATAATTATCGATGCTGTCATAAGAAACTAGTGCTTGACATATGATTGCACTAATATCTATGTAATCTCTTTATTTATTTACTTATTTAAGATGCCTTTGACAAAGGAATCAACTTATTAGTAAGTAAGTTGTTTCAAATTACAGACAGTCTAAAGCCTCTAAAACTAAACCAAAGTTATGCGTAGTACATCAGATGTCGTATATACCTACATATACAAAAAATATTCAATATTAAACAAAATTTTGCTTATCTACCTTTATCAGCTGTACTTCTCAAGTCAGACAAGGCTTAAATCCCAAAACAGGTACAGAAACCTCAATGACTACAAATAATAATTCTTTTATTTTATTTTAAAGAGACAAGAATCAACCTATCTGTAAACTAAGCATTATATATATATATATATATCTGCTTGTTGGTCTAGAGAATAATCATAGCAAGTATTACTAAATATCCCAAGAGATCTTTGGTGTGATTTGGCCCACATTTAGATTCAAAGAAAAGTCTTTTCAATAATTTCTGGATGAGTTTCAGATGAAAATATAATTGAAATATCGAACAGTTGCAAATGAAGATGTGGTTTGGATAACAAATAACTGGTTTCGGGTAGATCAAAAGATCGTATCTAGATAGCAGTCTGTCTGTAACAATCAAAATTTTTGAATAGAAAAGGGTAAGCATATGTCAGTAACAATATTTAGAGAATAAAAAAATAAACATACTCTGTTCGGAAAACCAAAGAAAATAATAATATTTTATTGGCACAAATGACTTTGCCTACTTTATATATATAAGAGAAACCAAAAGGAATCAAGGCAACACAATACAGGGATTGGGCGTACCGGTCAAGTGAAATATATTTCTTGTATAATTCTGGAATATTACACTAAAGTTCTCCAAGAAGTCCAATCCCCCCTTTTATTTTATTTTATTTTCCTTGCTTTCTTTGCTTATAGCAGCAACTATTTCTTGAGATATGAAGAAAGCAAGATGTTGTATCCTATATATTTCTTTAATATATATAAAATGTTGAAGGATTTGACAATTGAATCATTGGAGTTTTGTCATGTTTCTCTTTATTTTGCTCTTCATTGCCTTATAATCAAGAACTGCCCTTGCTTTGTTATATGTATCTTTGGTGAGAATTAGTAATTCGATTATATTATGGCTGGAAATAATTTCAATTTGTCTAAAGTTCAGCTACAAGCTCTGTAACCAATTTCACAAATACACAAGACCCTATCCACCCATCGATCTTATTTAAAAACAATTTGCAAAGATTTGTGAGACGGTCCAAAAGAAAACACTTCTTCTTCTTCTTTTTTAATTATTATTATTTCTGATTAATATTTTGTTTTGCTTGCTTAATTAGTTAGAAAGAGAAAGAGATCTCTCAAGGGTGCAACCTCCTTTATTTGATTTGATTTGATTTGATTTGATTTGATTGAAAACACAAGAGAATCAGTTGAGATTACAGCAGTAATTCTCCTGGTTTTTTCAAAATTATCCCAAAATCCAAAGAAGAAAGAGGGTTTTGATTAATAAGACGATTATTGAATTTAAGATTATTTAAATTGAGCCTGATTTTTATGTGTATATATGTACTTTGAAGACGATAGACTACAGAAGAACCATGTTCTTGGATTAATAAACCCATTGAAGGCAAGACGGGCATCTAAAGTAACAATATATCTTTATTAATTATCAAGGCAATAGACGTGATCATCAAGCAAACGCACAAAAAGGAGGGTGAAGCCATATGTTTGATACGTTTGGACGATGTGATAAATAGATATATTAGCTATTTGTATTAAGCTAATTTATCGTTATTCTGACTTCTGGACTGTCATGACGAACACAAAATGTCAGTGTTGTGATGATACCCAAAAGTGGGAATAAAATAATAATGCGTGAGTCAAAATACGACATTTCCCATCGGCTAAAACAAATCACTGCTTTCTCCACTTTATACTCATTTCTTTTATTTATTTAATTATTTATATTGATCTATCAATGGCCCTCTCCAGACTATTTTCTACCAGAAAAAAGTTATCAAAAGACGCCAGTGGTCGGCCAAAGTCCAAACCAACCACAGCCGCCCCTTCCGGAATCCTATCCAAGCCATTCCCCCCTCTTTCTTCAAGAGCTAAATCGCCTTCAGATGTCCTTGATTTTGTGGGGTATCCTCGACTATCTCATAGCACGCCTATTTCACAGGTACGAAAGCGGCAATCAACACCCCAGTTACAGCCCCAGCGCCATTTTACTATTCGAAACCAAACACCTCAGCCAGATGCCGAACAACCTCAATTAATATCTCACCACACACCACCCCAACCACTCCAACCACTCCAACCACTCCCACCGCTCAAGATGCCTACTCCCCGAAGAGTCATCCCACCCACCAGACACATGCTTTCTGCTGAGCTAACCGACAAAACCTTGGTGGAAGAACCAGAATCAATATATCCCCAGAAAGAGTCCCGGAGATCCCTTTTAACAGCACCTTTTAATCCTAATGTTGTCATCAATCGTCCTCTATCAATAGATCACACATATCCTCTCACCAGTAAGTATCAAACACTAATCTTCCAAAAGAAAATTGACCAAGGATAATAACAAGCTTTAATAGACATGTCGTTAAAGCCCCGTCCTCATGACAACCTTGTGGAAAACTACACTTGGTGCCCTGAAAACGGGATGCATGACAATGATCTACAGGAAGAAATCACTGCCCTCCAGGAACGAATACACGAGTTTAATAGAGAGAAATCCGAGTGGGCTAAACGAGAGACAGAGCATCGTCAGAATGAGCAGCGTATGCTTGAGACCATTCATCACACTCAGGTTCAGCTGGAAAAACTGTCCCTGGCTACCCTCAACGCTCAAAATCAAGCAGCACCTCTTTGGCAACATTCCCCACGTAGACGCAAACCTTCTGTAGGCATGCTAACCTCGTCTTCGGCTCCTTCCCTTCGTCGATCACGTTCTCACTCAACTACCTCCAGAAGTAACAGTTACACAAGAGACGAAGAAAGTGAATCAAGTGAAACAAATGAGCACAGTGGTTATGACGACGGTTACTATGACTACAACTATAACGACGATAGTTATGAAGACTTGACTCCATGTGAGCCTGATATTCGTCGTTCTTCATATGTTTACTCGTACCCAGTTGCTCCTTCTCATCACACACCCCAGAGTATTCGTTGGCCATCCCCACACAACAATGTCCAACGCTCTTATCCTGTCAGTAGACGTCCTTTAAGCTCTGCTGACACTCGAGGCTGGTTGCCCAAAGAAATTGGGGGTAGAAATGTATTTCAGAATGTGTATGACAGGGATATAGACATCCTGGATGACTATGAGCCTGATGGCTCTGGTGTACCATGGTCCTCTTCATGTCCACAGCCTTCTACCCGCGGGTATGCAAGGTACCCACGGCACCCTACGCCACGTGTATACAATGAGACCAGTTCTTTTGGACAGAGGTACTCTACCGATCCATGTCGTACCGCGCCATCATCATATCGATCTCAGCCCACAGAAAGCCACTCCACAGTAAGACGAAGCATCAGTAGTAGCAGTGGATCACAACGAGCACAACGAGCACCACCGTCACCACATGATTACACACATTGGATCCGTCGTCTCTAGCCATAATCAGTTTCAAGCCCAAGATCCTTTAACTTTCCTCCTCTTACTACTTCCACTTCTTCTACTACTTCTACTACTTCTACTACTTTTCCCTCTTTTTTTTCACACACAAAAATAAATATAAATATATAAATGTACACTAGAATTTTGGTACATTTAATGCTTCATTGACAGGAAACCTTTTACAAAATAATAATAATAATAATAATAATAATAATATTTACACATTTTTTTTTCAATCCTTGTGCAATTTACCCTTCCCTCTTAATATGGAATATATAAAGCATTTATATCAAAGACAAAGAGAATCATATAACAAGGGAACAATAATAAATATTAAGGTAAATAAAAACAAAGAGAAATAGAAAGAGTACGTCAAAGCACCCAAAAACACAAACACACACCGATCGCCAGATTCATATATTCTTTACATGATACTGCAATCTGTCATGTCTTTTTGAACGACCTTCTTGATGATTGGCCAATCTGCTCGGCAGGATGCAAATTCGAAAAGATCTTCAATACGCATCAAACCATGATACCTTTCCAAATCATGGATGACGCTCTTAATATCCTGCGGTGATGTAATAATGTATACGTTGGAGAGTGATTTGAGTGCAGAAAAGTAAGGTGTGATAGCTCTTTGCTTCAGATCTACTGCAAACGCATAGTACGCATTCATATCGCTATAAGAAGTTGTTGTTGTTGTTGTTGTTGTTGTTATTGTAAGTTATCTTGCAATATATATATGAAATGATTCTATAAAGATTCTTACCAGATGTATCTTAAACCACCCATCTCATTTACTGTCTGAGCCTTGAGATGCTTACATAGAACCCTGATAGGACAATACAGAGTTTACTTTCTCTTGGTCAGGTATAAAACACTAGTTTCATTTACTTACTCAAAAAATCGACGACCAATCTCACTAAAGAAGAGATCCATTGTCGATTTTTCTGCTGCTCCAGAAAGCATAGAAATATTCTTTTTAAGACATTCGATTGCATCAAAACAAGCCTAAGCACACATACATTTATATTCAAGTACATGAAAAGAAAGTAATGAACACAATGTACAATGTACAATATACATATTATGCCTTTTTTGATGTACCTTTGTGGGTTTAAGATCTACATCAATATCACTGGGTGGGTTGTAATCTTCCGGCTTTTGCTCAGTAGAAAGAATCATCTCTACTTGAGCCAGCAGAACCTATGTATTAGATATATATATATATATATAAGGGAAAAGAACTTCTTTAAAGATAACTTTTTCTCTTTTTTCCCCAACTCTAATTGTTGCAAGTAATAATTATAATAATCCTGTAATTTACCTGAATTCCATGATCCATACCCTGGGCCACACAATCATCCAACAATCTTTCAAACGACTTTTTCTCCTTGTTGATATCGTTCATAAAATCATGTTTGTCTACATATTTTGTCTACAGTACAGAATAAGTAAAATTCGGTAGCAATTCTTATATATATATATACAACATACAATTTCTTCATCGTAGTAAGCCTGGATCATATGCTGCATCAAATCTGCAAGATGTACCATTCCAAAGAATTCTGTCAAAGGAGGTACTTCGCCATTGTTAAACTTTAGAGATTCTGGGTCTGGCTTATAAGATAAAAGTCTCTTGGATGCTCTTTTATTTTATTTTATTATTATATATTTCAAGAAAGAATTAGCATTTTATTTATCTATCTTCTTCCTTGTATTTTTTGCTTACCTTTCAAAAGCTGTTTGAATGTGATCATGGCCAAGCGTTTTGAGTAGATTTATAAAGATGGCTTCGAATGTTTTTTGACTACGAGGTTTGTTTAGAGAATAGAACCCTCGACCCTTCAAATATTCGACATAATTTGTTCGTTCATCTACAAGACTTACATATCTTGTTTCATTCTTCCAGGGAATCCAATATTGATAAATCTCTGGACTCTCCGTTCAGAATCCTTATTTACATGAATCATATTAACCGCAACGCTCAAACTCAACAGGTTCTGTAGTGCATCGAGTTCATGTTGAGCATTTTCAAGGGCATCAGAAGGCTCTAATGATTTTGTTTCTGGGGTGGTTGGTGTGGGGATAGAGTTCCTAGAGGACTGGCGAGAATGAAGGGATGAGGATTCGTTGACAGGCGATTTTGAGATCGAGGTGGTTGAGTTGGTCTTTTGATGTCGAGGGATAGAAACAGAATTTTTTGGAGTAGAAGGGGGTGTTGATTGAGGAGAGAAGCTAGTAGAGGATGAGGTGGATTCAACTGATGCTAGGGTTGAAGAAGCACGTTTGTTGGCGGTCTTGTCTTCGGACTTGAAGGAGAATTGCATAGACCGCTGAAAAGGAGAAGCAATGGTTGTTGCTGCAGAAGAGACCAGGTCAATAGGTAATGCGATAACTTTTTTGAATGCCAAGAGATAATTGCTAATGTATCCATGTTTTAGTGTTTTTGTAAAGACATAAAATTACACTTCTTTTTCTGTTACAACACTTTTAAGAAAAAAAAATAATTGCTACTTTACCGCTTAAACAATTCACGGGATTGGTTAGTTAACCGGACCGAAGGATCATCCCGGCGTTCCCCGGAAGATTGATTCTATATTCATGAATAAATATAAAAGGGGAAAAAGAAAGAGGAAAAAAATAATAATAATTTCTAGCTTGGAGATGTGTTGGCTACTGCATCTAGAGACGATATACAAGAAGCTGGCACTTACCCAGTCGGCAATTTCTTTTCCATACTTTTTTTCCACATACTTCTTTTCTTCCTCGAGATAATCATCCAACAAGGGAAAGAATAATTTGTAGAGGAGATTTATACCTCGTTCTTTATCAATCCTAATTGCAACATCATCTCCGGTAATTACATCGACAAGAGAATAGACTAGAGTGAGTATGGAAGATATAGCATAGAGATAATTGCTGGAGTCTATGGTTTGTGCCCTTCCCAGAAGCTGTGTAACATAGTCTGCCATCTGTGTAGTACAAATACAACCTTTTAGTTCTTTTTTGAGGGTTTTGTCGTGTCACCCTAATGGTAAGACTTACCACATCCTCGAATACTCTATCGGCAAACATATAAAAGACATCTGCACTTGGTGGAAATACTTGAATGATCAGTTCGGCCTGTTGTTTCATTGCGTCTGTGATTGCAGCAAATAAGTTCTTGAGCGAGTCAATATCAAGACCTGAAGAACTTCACAAAACACAAGATTTGAATGAGAAGAAGGGCTTAGGGAATTGAAATTGTTTGGTATCACAATAACTTACACAAAGTTATCTTCGGGTTTGAATGGGTTATCATAAAATATCGGGTGCTTCTGAAGAAAGGTTTGAATGCAAAGCGATCCTCCGTTCAATGCAATGATAGCATGTGCGTAAACCTAAGTTTTGAATCTATGTTAACTAATGGACCCCTCTTAAGCGGACCCTTTATTTTTTATTTTATTTTTGCTTATATATATATATACGTATACACAAAATAATGATAATATTCACCTTCATTTCAGCAGGTTTGTTAGAATCATAAGCAATTTCAAACTCATGAAGAGAAGCGCTCTCAAAGTACTGACACAAAGCTTCCACAGTATCATTAAGCTAACAAATATATACAAAAGGCTTAGATAATTGCATATATATATATACACACACACTGTACTAGACTAAACTAGACTAATAACCCCAGCCAATGATATACAAAGCATACACATTAACATTACCACCACACCATTTCCCCCTCTTTTTGTATTTGTGTATGTATCTATGGCGTCTGAGAAAGAAACCAAGGTTAACAAAGGCTTACTTCTCTCCAATCATCAACAACTTTGCATTTTCCCAGCCCAACCAGCAAGTTCAATGTTTTGCCGCATGTTTCTGGGGCTGAACCAAAGTCTTGAAGAACTTTAGATTTTCCATTAATATTGCGAAGGTCAAGGTAATAGGGTGCAATCCGGATATAAAGTTCCTTAAACCGCTCTCTTGCGTGACCTGTGGACTTTGCTCTTGCTCTCTCATTGTAGGGATCTCGGGACATCCCAGGAATAAGTGTATTGAGAGGCTTATTGTTAATAAGAAAGCTGGTGTCCTTGTCAATGAGTGACAGTTTGGCATTGGGATCCTCTTTGTGATTTGGTAGTGTGTGTGTGTGTTTACGTGTGTGTGCGTGGATTTATATATATGCGTGCATGTATGTTAACTAGGTTGATTCCACTACATAATAATGTAGAATATTGGAATATTTACCAAGAAGGGCAGCTAGAGCGCCAGTGTCAGATTCTAGCATAATCTTCAATTTGGTATCCCAGATCTCGTCGTCGTAGGCAAGGACTTTGAACCTCCTCGAGGCCATTGCTACATTAGCAAGTGAACTTATGGGGAGGTTTTCGAACACACGAATGAGGACATTTGGTGGTAAGGAATGGGACTGTTTGTTGGCTGTATCATTATTGAAGTTCATGTCAATGAACAAACACTACAAGAGCTAAAGAAGGGCCAAAAGAGAGGAAGAGAGAAATTGGCTGTGTAAGTGTGTGCGAGAGAGAGAGAGAGAGAGAGAGAGAGAGAGAGAGAGAGAGAGAAACCCCATGCAAGGGAAGCGGAGTGCATTAAACCAAGTGAAAAAAAAAGGGGCGGGGATTGTATCCAAGCGATATCAGCCAGTCCCCTTTTTTTTCACTTTAGGTAAAGGACCAGATAGCTTCGTTTTGCAAACTCTTCTTCTTGTTCTTCTTGTTCTTTTATTCTCCCTTTTCTTCTTTGTCTCTTTATATCCAACTTCTTTATTTATTTATTCATTATATATTATTAATACTAATATCATATATATATATATATATACACATACATACATACATACATACATACATACATACATATATACTGTAAACACACACATATTCATAGATTTATTTATATATTTATTTACCTATATTTCTTTTATAAACATAAATATATATACAGCTTCTTCTTATATATATATATATATATATATATATAAACATATCTCATTTTATTATGCCCATGTCTCCTCCACTCTCTTACGATTTAGCTAATCACCCTCCTGCTGACACTATCAAGATGCTCACTGGCTTGCTAGAGCGCATCACAAAAACAAATGACAAGCTTTACGCTGCAAGTGTAGAAAGTGGTCGTCATCCTCATCCGCGTGCATCAGCCTATACCTGCTTCCATGCTAGGTCTATTCCCAACATCGACATCCACTCCTACCTGAATCGCATCCTCAAATATTGCCCATGTGCCAATGAATGCTTCCTTAGTCTGTTAGTTTACTTTGACCGCATGTCTCGTAATTCTTCAGGTCTGCGGATCGACTCTTATAATATCCATCGTCTTGTCATCTCGGGCATCATGGTTGCAAGCAAATTCTTTTCCGATATATTTTTTACAAACTCGCGTTATGCCAAGGTGAGCCCTCGGCTTTGTTTTTGTTTTTTTTTTGTTTAGTGCAGGGATGAAACGTCTAGTTCTGGTCTGGCTTGAAAGAACACACACGCACACACACACACACACACACAAATATACAAACAAATACATACATACATACATATATACATACATATACATACATATATACATACCTATATATATACATACCTATATATAAGTAAATAGAGAAAAAAGAGATATACAAGGAGGGAGATAAAATGCAGAGAAATTAATGGTATTAGAAACCAAAGAAAAAATATATATAATTGCTGCTGCTGCTGTTGTTGTTGCTGTCCCCTTTTTACTTCCTATTCTTATTATTCTTTAACTACTTTTATAACCACGCCAGATCCTCCACTGTCTAAATCCAGTGGAGATATCGGTATAATTATTGTATCTTGTTGCTCATCTTTGGCACCATTATCCAAAAAAAAAAACTATCGCCAAAAAAAATCCATTTTTTTTGTGAAATAATAATAGGTGGGCGGTCTACCTGTTGCTGAACTGAATGCACTCGAAGTCGAGTTTCTTCAGCTCAATGATTACAACCTTAGCGTATCAATTGAAGAGCTGCAGCAATACGGTGACCAACTACTACAACATTGTATGCGAGAAGAAGAACGGCGGAGAGAGGCAGAGTATCGCCGACGAGAGCTCAAGTTACAAGCCGAAGAATAACGCCTCGCTCGGGCTACACATCCCGATGACCGACCACGACGTTGCAGAGCTACTATTGACAACCATCGATCTTCAAGTGTTGACTCCTCCCGCCATCCACGCAAACCATATGTCGATGCCTATTCAGACAGACGCCAGCCTTATTCGTCAACCTACACCGATCTTGAACATTCTTTAGGAAGAGTTAAGAGTGAAGTAATGCCAGCACGGCATGCTCATTCTCGGTCAACATCCCGTCATAAGGCAGATCTTGTTGAAGAATCAAGAGGAGATTCCCGTGGAGTCACTCCCTCGCACTCCTTTGATGTCCTTTATGAATCCAAGGTCTACACACAACATCGTCATACATGGCACCCTGACCATGGTCCACATCGTCTCCCCACACCTCCTCATTCAGCTTCTCCAAGGGAAGGTGATGATGCGTTTTAAACCAATTCATACACATACACAAACACGAGCACAAACATACGCACACACACACACACACACGCACATACGCACATACGCACGCACACACGCACACACGCACACACGCACACACGCACACACGCACACACGCACAAATACATCCAAACACATCAACCAAAGTATTAAAAAACGTTAGAGTGTCCAACTGAAATAATTTAGCAAAGAAAACAAAAAAATCAAAAAAAAATACGAATGAATTTAACAGGATTTCTTGTTAAATTATTGCGCAAATCATTTACAGTTTTTCAAACAAACACATTCACAAACTCAAGTACACAGCTCACCTAAATACAAATATTCACTATTTAACTTTTATTTTTATTTTTATATATATATATTTATTTATTTATTTATTTATTTACACCTACACTCCCACATATTTATAATCATACACACAAGAAAGAAAGAAAACATATTTAAATCAAAAGGTTCAAAGAAGTCGCTGTTTTTTTTATTGTTCTTTTGAAGGGCCAACCTTCTGAATGGGCCATGCATAATGAGCTTCAGATTTATCATAACCATAACGCTTTACAAACCCATCCAACTGAGCTGGTCCTCTTGAGCCATATGCATAATTCTCAATCTTAACCCCCTCTCTTCCATCAATTTTGTGCAACAAGGGCGTAAAGATCTTCCATGCTGCCTCAAGTTCATCAGAACGTACAAAGTTTGAGTGATCTCTACGCATCACATCCAATAATAGGGAATCATATGCATCAGGAATCTCAAGATCCTTGTATCGGCTATGATAGGACAAGTCGAGGTCGGTCTGGATGGTGTGGTACGACAAACCGGGTTCCTTGTTGTTGAACTTGATGTAGACTGCCTCTTCTGGTTGGACTCGCAACACAAGCTCATTGCGGGCTGCACCCTTGTACAGATTGCCCGCTACATTTCGGAATTGGATTCTAATCTCCACCTTTGCATCATTCAGGGCCTTGCCTGCCTTCAAGATAAATGGCACACCTTCCCATCGCTCATTCTGAACCCAGCACACCAGTGCTGCAAATGTGGGTGTCAAACTATTCTTGTCTTTCAAAGTCTCGTCCTCAAGATAACCAGGCTTTCCATTGGCAGCCACATATTGTCCCAAAAGAGCATCGGATAATTCAATGGGAGGAATGCATTTGAGTACCTTGACCTTCTCATCACGAATAGCCTCGGCTTCTGTGGAAATAGGACGCTCCATAGCAACGAGAGACAGCACCTGCAAAAGGTCTATTGTACAGATCCCATGGTCAACATCCGTTCCCACTTGGTTACCCAACATATTTCCACAATATACTTACGGTTCTGAATCACATCTCGAATAATACCAAACTCATCAAAGTATCCTCCTCGTCCCTCGGAACCAAACGGCTCTTTGAACGTGATCTGAACACTATCAATGTACTTGCGGTCCCAGATCTGAGAAAAGAAGATGTTGGCAAATCGAACCACCATCAAGTTCTTGACCATCTCCTTGCCCAGATAATGGTCAATGCGATAAACCTATATAAATAATATAAAACAAACAAACTCAGCTTTAATGAACTCTAATTATCGTAAAGTTTACTTGAAAACATACCTCTTCCTCGGAAAAGCACTGCGCAAGAGACTGAGCCAAGTGCTTGGAGCTAGCGGAATCCATACCAAATGGCTTCTCTACAACTACTCTTGTAGAGCCTTCCTTGGCATACACATTCTTCTTCAGTCCGTGGGCTACTGGGATGAAAACAGAGGGAGGAAGAGCCATATAAAACATCCGGTTTCGCTTTCCGACATCTATTCCACGTTCTTTCTCGAGAGTTTTGAGATAGTCATTGAGAGACTGGAAGGACTTGTCATCATCATACTGTCCCTGGTGGTACGAAGTAATTTTCTTGAACTTCTCAATGTCTTCTTCAGCACCCTTGACCTTGATGAAACGCGTAATACGATCAAGATATTCTTCGTGAGTCATCTTTGAACGAGCATAGCCAACAATAAATGTGTTTTCGGGTAAGAACCCATAGTGGAACAGGCGGAACAAGGCGGGGTAAGTCTTCTTTTTTGCGAGGTCTCCTGAAGCACCAAGAACTATGGGAAACTCAAGTCAATAAATAGTTGGAAAACAACAGACAAATCACCCAATAGATCTGGTAAAGATAAAGCACTACCACTTTTTATTTTTATTTTACTGTATTGTGATGGTGATGGTCGCCATGACTACACCAGGACGAATGCCATTACGTTTTTTTTTCTTCTTCTTCTTCTTCTTCTTCTTTATATTTTATTTCAGGTACAGAAAACTTACCAACAATGGTGATAGCACCATTGAGTTCTTTGCACACCTGAGCGCGCATTTGATCGATTGGGTTCATGGTAAGCTTGAGAAAAGAAGAAAATAGAATGGGAGAAAGAGTGAATCCAATCGCCCCACACACACCTTATTTAAAGGGTACCTTGGATTTTGTGTCCTCATGAACTCAAGTTACTCACTATCAGTTTAATAGCCGCACATAACCATCACAGGCTTCATTCTAGCTGCTTACAGGGCGCATTTTCTTAATTTAGTTTTTTTTTGTTTTGACAGGCCTCGACAAGCTTAAAAAATTGTTTGATAATAGAATTCCAGTTCCTTTGAATACATTTGCGTTTGTTTCAGTTGGTTCCTTAATACCACTAGACATGGTTCACTAGATTTTTGGTTATCGTGATATTCTCAGACTTCTTTAATCGGAAAGTACCCTTGAAAGAATGAAAATAATGATGGTAAAGTGACCTCTTTTTCAGAATGCACAAATTGTGTAAATATGACCTCAGTGAAGAGGACAACACAGGGCGCCCGAAAACAGATAATGGAGTCCAGATTTTTTTGTTACCAGAGTCGGATAAACTTCAGAGTGTGACTAGACTTGAGACAAACGGAAACATCGGGCATGAACGCTTTGAACACCTAGTGTTTGAGCTATTGTCACCATGTTCCTAGAACAGATATGTCCCGGACAAGTCAATCCTCAATTCCATTGCATCCATACTTTTACATGGAGAGATGAACGTTATATAGTAAGACTCATCAAGCTTTAAAAAGCATCATCCTACCATGTTACGTTATCTTGATGTTTTTCAGACTCAAGACAATTAATTGAATTTCCAACAAAAAGGTATATGCCACAGGCTCAAAGGTGGTAATTTATGCCGATCCAGATGTTCTCGTTCAAATCATCCCTGTGCCGTTCGAACAAACTGAGGAAGAAAGTCATTTAGAAACAATTACAGCCGTTTCTGGCAACAGCAGGACAGGAAAGGTAACGTTTTACCTCTTTGGTGATTTCTTCCGTACATGCATACATATAGACATGTATACCTAAATACAAACATACACATATGCATACGCACATATAAACATACATATAAATATATAAACATAATATATGTTTGGTCTTGTTACTTATACTTCCTTATATCATTTAGCTCGCAGTTGCTTACCAAAAACACATTTGTTTCTTTCGATCTCAAGAACAAAAAGATGACAAGGTAAATCCTTTATTTCTTTTCAAACACTCTTTTGTCACAAAGCAAACATCCTTCCAGTAACCGCATCCATTGCTCTTTATTATAAATATAAATAAAATAAAATAAAAAACATATATATAATACTTTGATATATATATATATATATATATATATACATGTGTGTGTGTATGTGTGTGTGTTTATGTGCTTGTGTATATCCATGTTGTTCAACACCTTCTCTCTCTCTCTCTCTCTTTATTTCTACCTTCTTCTTTTCTACCTTTGTTTGTTTTCTCATGATGTAGAAGCAATCAATTTGGGAGATCGAAACAGTATTGAGTACCAAGAGCCAAGTTACATGTCTTGATTGGAGTGTAAATGGTAAAGTAATAGTAGTAATAATAATAATAAAGAAAATATGGGTGGTCCTAGAGTTATAAATTTTCTTCTATTTTCTTCGCCGTCGTTGTCGATATTATTGTTACGTCTATGTAGATCTCCTCTTGACGGCAGGTAGTGAATTGGCTATTTGGAAAAATACCTCATCAGATACAGATCCATGGAAAATCCAGTGGACTACAAGGTAATGGTCAGAGGATTTATATTAAGCTTTGTATTCATGTTCCGTCAATACATTGTAGGCCTGCTGTAGATGTCATTATGGCCAAATTTGAGCCAAAATCAACTATGTTCGCAACATTGGGAGAGGTACATATCAGTAGAGCACAATTATATATTAACAAAACCTTATTAAATATCAGTTTGATCGGCTGGTTACTGTGTGGCACGAGACAGCAGAAGGAGGTATAACATAAAATTTAGGACTGGCACATCATTTTCTTTCTAATAATTTGCATTACTTTCCTTAGACTACTCATTTATACATCTTCCTCATCCAAGGTCTGTTGGACATTTTGTGTGGAGGACACTACTAGAAGGATCTAAGTAAGTAATTAATTAAAGCATTTTGATCTTATTGTTGGTTAGGGGCCCCGGATTTATTTACCTGTCTGTTTGTTTAGAACAAAACGCCCCGATTGCGCCTTATTTACTATGGCGCGCGATGGGATTGGACGTTTCTGGAGTCCAGTTGATCTTGAGACACCTCATGCTCTGTATATGTGTGCAGTTATTGATCCAAGCCAGTCTTTGGTCACTGCGGAGTCTGGTTCAATGGCTTCACAGGATGGAAGTGTTGCCTACCTGGATCACATCGAAGATGTGTCGCCTATACACTACATCGATTGCGGAGAACTGCAGAGTGCAATTAGTACACAGCCACAATATCAATCTCTATCTCAATCTAAACAGGAGAAACTAGATCAACGAATAAAAAAGGTGCGAGATCTCATCAAAGAAACTCCCGATCTACTATTTAGAATCCAGTCTGATGGATCCCTGACATTTTGGGGAGTCAAGGTGAGATTACTATAAAGACATCAACAGGAATCCTCTCACACACTACTACTGTAGCATCTAAACTCGTTCCCAAGAAGAGTACCGCGTGTGTTTGTTGTCCTGAGAATCGCACAAGCCGTAGATCCGGCCGACGTAGCTTATTTCCTAAACCCAGTTAAGGTGCTCCACGATTATTCTCACATCCAATCTTTCTGTAAGTCATTATCTATTGATATTTGTATTAACCCATAAACATACTATATATATACTAATTAAATAATAATTTTTATATATATAAAAACAGCGACTATTAAACCTATCGAATTGAGTCTGGTAGCTAGAAATCCACATGGACAGATACGATGTTATGGTCTCAACTTGGTTGATTTCCTGGAACAAAACCAATTCATACCACGTCTACACTTGAAATATACATGGCTTGGTCACAGAAACTCTATAAAAAGCCTTCCTCAATCTAGATCTAGTAGATTCTGTACCATTGGAGAAGACGGGCAAATTAATGTGTGGAAGTATGCCCTTCGTGAGGTAATTTTTTTATAGAAATCAAGGGTTTAAGTGATATCAAAGGTTCTTTTTTATTTAAAGAAAAAAAAACTTTGTGTTTTTTAGGATGGTGGAAAATTGACAAACAGGCTGCAATTGAGTGGATCTCTTAGCCTTGAATCTGATATTGTACTATCTATACCAGTGCATAGAGGTAATGGAAAATGATACACAAATATAACTATTACTGATATTAAATTACATAGATCGACATGTTGCTGTTTATAATGGAAAGCAGCTCCTTATTTATCGCTTAGACAATCAGGCTTGTCATTTAAACCACTATCAGGTGTGTGAGCAGTATGATCCCACCGTTACTTTTTCGTCTCTACACACTGAGATACTCAGAGGAGATAGCCAGTCCAAAATACATATCTTGTTTGGTGTTTCTCGATCAGCAAAACAAATTTTCTCTTGGCAGCTACAATTTACTTCCCCGGTCCCAGTACAGGATCAACAGGAATCCGAGGAAAATGAGAGTCTGGAGGATATTATTTTCTTGGGAAGTCAAGAATTCGACTGGGAAGAAGAACCTTCTGTGGTGGTTACTTCTCACGGCGGATCTAATCATGCTGCGTCAAAGCTTTTACAGCAGATTGGCATGGGAGCAGATAGTATTCCGATAATTACAGTTGCCCTTGGTACAAAATTACTGTTCTATGGAATTCATTATGAATCAGACTGGGAAGGAAACAGTAAACCTCTCGAATGGAATCTACTCTACACACTCGAAACAGGACTTGAATCCATTCAACAAATGCGATGTGTAGTCAACCAGGTTGTGCTTGGTAATTAACAAACAACAACAAAAACGAATAGCCAAATAATCTTGACTTTCAAAATAGTTTCTTCTTCTGAAACCTATGGACCATCCAGAAAACTCACCTTTTGGTCAGAAATTCGTACAGGTGTTCGTCCAGTTCTTCACAAAACCTTTGAATTCTCGTAAGTATTTGACCTCTTGGAATTTTTGATATCCATTGTTTTTAAATAAATGGATATTTATTTATTTATTTATTTATTTCTAATAACTCATTAGGGAGCCTATTATTGCTATGGCTTGGAATGTTTCGTGTGATGCTCAATTTATCTTGGCAGTAGCCTTCCCTACCAAAGTAGCTATCTATGGTCAGAAAAGAGCGACGAGCGTTACAAATGATGATGATATTTGGATTTGCTATGATGAATTCCCGGTAGACATGTAAGTACATCTTAAGAATTGATCTGTCAAAGTAAGTTAGTCAGTACTGAAGATTAAATAAATCTATTTATTTTTGAGTATTTTAGGCCTGAATCTATTGTTGGCATTACTTGGGTAGAAAACGGAGTACTTGCCGTTGCTGCCGGAAATCAACTTCGGTGTTATTTGAAATGGCTAACCTCTGAAGATGAGTTGAATCAACGTAGGTTTCTATAGTTTTTTTTTTCATTTGGTTATGCTTTTGGTGTTGTACTTAATGTACAAAAAAAAACCACCCTGTTTTCAATATTTTTTATAGCCTTGGATTTGGATCCTGATTTACACCCAATGTCGAATATATACGATTTGTCATATGACAGAAATGGTCCTCTTACCATATACCATCCGAATTACTTGATTCACTATATGATGTGGGGTAAGTAATATATATATATGTAAAGAACGTCTTGTAAATAAATAAATAAATAAAATTCTAATTTAAATTTCTACAGGAAAAATGGATTTGATCAATAGTGTATTGAGATCTCTATACAAATTTTTGAGACATTATGTAGATGAAGATACAATAGATCAAATACCACCTCTTTTGCTCTCAAAAATATTACAGCTACAGAATGTAAGAATAATTCTTATATAGTCTACTTGTTATACTGTCTTAATACTTTGTGTGTGTGCGTTTTTTTAAGAGCTCTAAAAAGGAAAGTAAAAAGCAGCAGTATAAATCTCTCTTTGATGACGATGACGATAATGATACCGAGTAAGTATTTAAGCTTAATATTTATTCATAATTCAATTGATTGTTCTTTGTTATCTAAAACACTATACCTATTGCTTTGTTTGGTAGCTATTCAGAGTATTATGATGATGATGATGATTCACGTTCACTCAGTCATGAAGAAGCCAATTATTTGATGGAACATCTCAAATCCAAAAAAATGCCAGCACTATCTGAAAACGAACGAATGCACCTTGTTGCAATGATTGATACTTTTGATGAGGTATTTACTATATTTTATTTTATTTTATTTTATTTTTTTAAAAAAAAAGTATCTTTAAATATATTAATATGATGTTATTTACAAGGTTTCTACACAAGGAGAAGCATTAGATGAAAATGGTGCTCGGTTCACAGCCTTACTAGAAAATCATTTCCACCTAAATAACATCATTTCTCAAGACCAACAGCAAGCACTAGCAGCGAGAGACTTTGTGTGGGCCCTTCACAGTCAATCTCAGGTAAGCTGTTTATAAATTATATTCTGAACATGTGGTGAATTAATACAACTTATATATTTTTTTTAAAAAAAATAAAATAAAATGAAGGATCTTCTTCTCGAACGGTGTATTCGATTATGTAACAACAAATTGATGTGGGAAGAGGCAAAATCGCTTGGTATCTTTTTATGGCTAAAAAAAATTGACACTGTGGTAAGAAATCAATTCTTTGTTTAAGAATATTGAGCATATTAAAATCTAAACTGTTGGATAGAAAGAACAAATGGGTGTCATTGCGCGAAATACGTATTTGAGCAAGGAAGACTTCAAGGACCCCGAAAGCTGTACGCTATTCTATCTAGCCCTTCGCAAAAAAAACCTTCTTCTTGGTCTATGGCGCTCAGCAGGCCATCACAAAGAACAGGTTGTTATGACCAAGTTTTTATCCAATGACTTTACACTTCCTCGATGGAAAACTGCTGCATCTAAGAATGCCTACGTTTTGTTGGGAAGACAGCGCTTTGGTAAGTAAAAGTAAATGCAAAGCAGAATATATAAGACTCTATAATTTCTAAATATAATGAAACCTGAAGAGTATGCCGCTGCGTTTTTCTTGCTGGGTGACAAGATAAAGGATGCCGTCGGTATTATTCTTAAGCATATGAAAGACTTTCAGCTTGCAATTGCCATTTGTCGTGTCTATGAAGGTAAGAATATTATATAGTAATTCCTATGTATATATGGCGATAATATACTAAGCGTATATTTAAAAATTATTATTTGTAGGTGATCACAGCCCACTCTTGAAAGATATACTGGTAAAGAATGTGCTGCCGATGGCCGTTGAATCAAACGATCGTTGGCTTGCCAGTATGTGCTATACTCTACTAGAAAGACCTCAGGATGCCATTCACGCTATTGTTGTAAGTAAATTATACATAATTACTGTCTTTCACAAAATTTTATTTGTCGTTTCCTTATTTAACTCAATTATCCATCTAGACTCCTGTATCTATGCTCGCTGCGCCAGAAAAAATAAAAGACACAGACGCAAATGCAGATGCAGATGCAGAAGAGACAGCACCTGTTGGAGATCCAACTCTATTTATTCTTTATCAACAACTCAAACAACAATTACAGGCTCAGAACCGTCAAGACCTAAACGTACCTTACAGCCTTGAATATGAATTTTCTTTACAAGTGGCACGTGCTTATGAACGTCTTGGTTGTCCATTACTTTCGCTCTATATTCTAACACAATACAAGATGAAACCGCCTGCAGTAGAATCTGAACAAAATATCCCTCAAACATCCGACAAGGCGGCTGATTTGTTTGGAGATGATAATACCCCTTCTACAAGACCTGGACTCGCTGCTAATCTATTTGATGATGATGATGCTATTCCTTCGCGACCATCGTATTCAGCAAATCTATTCGATGATGATACTCCTCCCCGTCCTTCGTATTCTGCTAATCTATTTGATGATGATGATGTACCTCCCTCTCGCCCTTCGTATGCTACGGATTTATTTGCAGACGAAGAGCCATATAATAGCCCTACAGATGATTTGTTTGCAGATGATCCAAGTCTCTTCGAAAACAACAACCCATCTAATGGATCAGACCCCCTTGAATCCTCAAGCCAGAACTCCAAAAATACCTCTGATTCACCTGAGCGTAAAAATGAAACTGTGAGCATCAAAGATGGTCTCTCTTCTTACAAAGCCTTATTGGTCATTCGTATGCTTCAGGTAAGACAGAATAAAATGTCAAATGTCAAATGTCAAATTTCAAATGTCAAATATCTGGGTTTTTAATTTATCGATGTTATTCATTTCTTAGACCGTGTTTCGAGCTGCCTCGGCCTTGTATGACAGCTCAGTCAGGGCTGGAAAAGACCTCCAGTTTCAAACAACCTTTTTACAAAATAGACAAGATTTACTTGCATTAGGCGAAACCCTGAATGTACCACAAAAGGATTTTTCGAGATTACTGATCCAAAAAAGTATTGAAGCCGACGCGTTTGTATTCTACCTCGCCATCCTTGAAAAGGGTGTTCCTGAAGGCTTTAATGTGGCCGTGTTTCTAGAGTCTTTTGAAGCAGGTTGTTTCCAAGTATTCGAAGCTGCCATGATGCCATGCCAACTAGGTTACTCTGGACTTGTATTTATCGAACGATGGGCAGAGTAAGTGATCAAACGATTTAGAAAGAAATATAAATATAAATATAAATATAAATATTTATATGTATATATGTATATATACATATAAAGTACATGCGAGTATTATTAATATAGTATCATTGAATCTTCTTTTAACATCATTTTATTTGCAGCCATTTAATCTCCAACTTTGGAAGTTGGAGTTCCCTGAAGGAGAAATATCCTACACGATCGTCTATCCTTAAACTCGGGACGCAGAAACTCGTGTTAACGAACCATCTGTGCCTTATTCTTGTCACATTGAAGCAAAGACATTTTGAGAAGACGTGGGGATTGTTGTATTATCTAAAGTCATTAATGGAGTGTATGGCCGCTTCCAAGCGAGATACACTTCAGAAAGATGTAAAGATCATGTACACAGATCTATTGGCCAATACAGCAAAAATGGTAATATTTTTTTAAGAAAAAAAGATATATAGATAAATTAAACATGCATACACTCAAACAACATAAACAAAAACACGTTATTTATGGTTTTATCCCCTTTACTCCTTTTACTCCTATTGTGTTTCTTTAATGTTTGTTTCTAATAAACAATCAATAGGTTGAAATGACACCAGAAGATTTTGAAAGCTTCTCAGACGATAGTCTATTTGGATTTGATCTCAACGAAGAAGTGTACCGCCCACTAGAAGATGTCAATGACAATTCAATTGGTGCCAATCTTCTAGAGATTGCATCTCTCAATTTCACGCTAAATCTGCTAGAGTCAAGCATGCAAAATACGGAAAGAAGTGTAGAGATGGAAGGTAAGACTGATGATATTTGTATATATTTCAACAAATGGTATCTTACTTTTGTTGTTTAATGTCTTGAAGGTGACTTTGTGGCTTTCATTTGGACAACGCTTCTGGATCCTATTGCTTATCGTGCACAATGTTTGCAAAAGGACGTATTGCTTCAAATGGAAGAAACGCCAACTAAACGTAAGAAAACAGAAAGAATGGTATATTACTATAGCTGTTACTTACCCTTTTTCTTTCTTTAATTAAAAACAAACAACAAAAAACATGTGAATACATATGCTTAGGCAATATACTAAAGCAGTTCAAAACATTGAGGCAAAAAAAATACTGGCGTTCTATCAAAACTCTCAGCAGTACAGAACGTCTGTTGCCTTTTGTGAATTTCTTGGTAAATTTTATTTTGTTTTATTTTGTCTTGTTTTCTGTTGATGTCTATGAAATATGAAACATAGATATTTGAATTAAGCTTTTTTTTTGTATGCTGTGAATTTTCTTTAGCCCTCAGGCATGAATGTGATGTCTAATGACTCACAACCGCACTCGCATACTATGTATTATTCTCCAACCACTACTCATGCCTTCTGTATCAGCTCGGTAAGTTATGTAATCTTGTTTGTTTTTTTTTGTACTGCAGATTTATTGATACATATAAAACATGACTTGCGCCATTACGCCTATTATATACTCACTCACAAACTCACACACATACATAAAAAAATAAATATCTAAAGGCCTATCCAACTATGATGGCCATCTGCATGAAGACAGAAATCCAGGAAGTTGACCTCAGCAAAGTGCAGGGTCATGGACCAGTAAGAAATTCGTAACTGTGCCTAGAAAATCATATATATTCAATAGCACACCCACGCTCACACACACATACATACACACACCTTTATTGTATTATATTATATGTCGGTATTTCTAGTTATTAGCTCGATCTGGCTCTGGCTCGTCTTCAGGGGTGCATCAAGAATTGGCGGCAGGCAGTTATCCAGACACAGAAGAGGAAGAAGATGACTTTGGGTTATCTGATGGTGAGTCAGAGGTAGTCCGATCCTCACAATCGTCTCGCCACACAAAACGAAAAGAACCAAGAGGGCTTCAACCCAAAACAGCATACACCACCTCTCCTGCTCTTTCTCCAGCAGCTGGTCGAATTCAGGCTGAAGATAGACCGTTCCAGAACCGTAGTCTTGAAAATCTGCACGAAGCACTGAAACGATCACTCGGAATGGGTAAGACGAACAAAGAACCAATTCTTTTTTTTAAAATAAAAAAAAGTGAAGACCTTGTAACCAACATTATCCAAAAACACAAAATTGTAGAGAATTTCCGTTCTCCGGGTGCTATGAGTCCAATGGGGTCTTCGTCTGAGAATAGTGAGCATATGGTAATATCAAGTGATATGATATGTAGCCAGAATATTGATTTTCACAACGATGTAAATTTGTGTATTATATAAAAGTACTAAAATAAATAAATCACTGTTAGGTTACCTTGAAACGAAGTGTCTCGACCACTTGTGCAGAAGCTCATCCACAGTTTCCTTTTTGTATGTATAATAATAATAATAATAATAATAATAAGTATCCAAGTAAAATGTTCTTTAACAAAACCGTGTTCATTAAATTATATGATATTATAGATATAACTGGCTGCCAGAGCTCCAATGGTAGCCCAAGTGCAATTCTTTGGCCATTTGGACAAGAAAGAGAAATTGCAAACTACTACGGTAGTCAAGGGGCAGCTACACGGTAATTATCTAAAGTATCAAGATATCAATATATCTCTTCCTTTGTTTCTTTTTTGACAAGTGTGTGCATATAATGTATTTCTTTTTATATATAGAATTCACTTTGATCAGTTTGGTCAGAAGTTTGGTATGGGTGATACCTCAGGCTGGCTTTCTCTCTGGAAATTCGATTCTCACACTCAGTCCGATACACCTTATTATGTATGCTATAGAATACATAAAAACGATCTATACACAAATGATTACAGAAAATCTAACCAATTTAATTTCTTTTTTTTTCTTTTACAAATAATAGACCATGTCCTGTCACTCAAAAGCAACACGCGACTTTGCCTTCCTAGGCTCCAGTAGTCTTTTGGCTACTGTTGGTACATCAGTGGCAATGAGTCGCAGGTAAGAAAAAAAACCATACATAGTAAAAGTAAATTATTCTGATTATGTAGACCCAAAAGGTAAACTTAACCGTTTTTTTTATTGGACCTTGTGACTTGTAGAAAAGACCATGTTTGCCTTTGGGATACTCTTTTACCACCTTCAAAGGCACAAGTAGCTTGTAAGTATTATATACATTCTTATAATATCAGCAATTATTTACTTATTTGTGCAAAATAAGCCTTGCCTGGTCATGACGGAGGTGCTTATGCAGTAGCCTTTGATTCTTCGAGTAACTACCTATTTTCTGGTGGCTCTCGCGGCGAGATTGGTAAGCTTTTTTTTTAAAAAAAAAAAAAAAAAGAAGAAGAGAAAACTATCATGGATTCCAATGATTTCTTATCGGCTCTTTTTTGAACCATCCAGTGGTTTCGGACATACGACAGCGTACATTGCTCCATACTTTCTCGGCTCATCAGTCAAGGATACGATCCATTGCAATTGATACCGAGAAGAATCTATTGGTCACAGGATCAACCGATGGAGAACTAAAGGTAATTGTAGAATATAGGATGCCGTAACAATTATTGTTGTATCAAAGCTAATATATATATTCAAATCCTTAAAATAGATTTGGGACATTCGATCTTACAAGCAAAAGTACTCGTTTGATAATCAACCCAGAAATCGCTTCCTGGGCCCATCATTTAACCGGATATCTGTAAGTAAACCTAATAGATCCTGTCAAGGCTTTGGTATATTTATTTACTAAATATTCTTGTAATTTGAAGCTCAAGGCATATGGAGTCACACAAATTCAATTGACAAGCGATGACAATATTTATACTTCGGGGCCAGGCGGCATTGTTAACTGTGATCTTTCCGCAATTCAATAATTTGTCCACGTTTTTAGTATAACAAATGTATGAAAATAATATACATATACATATATATATATATATTTATTCAAAAATAATGATTTCAAATTGAAGTAAATCAAGTAACCAGAAAAAAATTTAATAACATCTTTTGCTGTTGTTGGTCTTTTTTTTGGAAGTTTTTTTTGGGGGTTTCAAATGCATGTATACTCGTTATATAACATATATACATGTAAATTGAGTCAGAATGAGACGTGTGTTCAGAATGGACAGGTATGGAAAGGGCTATACAATAAGTAAACGTTACAATAAACAAGGATAAGATGCAATGTTTGTGTGTGTGTGTGTGTGTGTGTGTGTGTGTGTGTGTGTGTGTGTGTGTGTGTGTGTGTGCGTAATAGTAGTAATAGTAATAGTAGTAGTGATGGTAGTGATGGTGATAGTAATATATGAGGTTTTTTTTGCGAATCTCTTTTTTTTCAATGAACTGATTATAAAGGCTTAAATACGGAATCCCCAAATTTCTAATTCAATACACTCAAACTCTGGTGAAGGAGACAAGCACTCGTTGTCAAATGTTGGACATTGCTCACTGTGACCCTTTTCGAGATCAGCGTTAAGCCATAATCCAAATTTACCGTCACTAAATGATAATATATATATGTATTTTAAGTTAGCCACACACATATAAAAAATAATAATCGTAGACTTACCCTCCTCCAATAGCAATAAAGTCATTCTCGGACAAGATCATGTACTCATTCTTTCCGGTCCAGGGAAACACTTTAATTTTTGGAGATATGTGTGCAGTTTGCGTAGAATCTTGCCTGGTAGTCTTCCAGAGAAAACTAAATCCATACAGGTATTAAGTAACGAAAAAAAATTTTGTAAATATATATATATACCATTCTCCCGTGCCGTAATAAGAAGTGCCACAAGTTAATGTCTCGTTCAAGAAAGCACCAAATATCTATCGTTATCCTTGAATTTTTTAGTATTTGATTTGATTTGATTTGATTTTGGTTTATTTTCATACCTGATCATCAGCATCCTTGATAGTAATAATACAAGGACCTTTGTTTGATTTGACCAGACGATAGAGTGTAGTGAGACTGATACCATGTTGATCCAAGCTATAAAGAAGAGACCATTGAGGTGCAAGGCGATAACGTCGAGGAAGATAAGGTCTAAGCTGTTTATTTAATAATAATAAAAATAATAACAATAAGATGAGATTTATATAAAAATATAGTCGAAATCCAACAATACTATTTATCCTGAAAGAATATTTTACCTGTTCGGCAATCTCACTTGTCATTACTGGCTCAGTATCTGGCCGTCTGTCAACAAGAGTTGGTGGAGGCATGTCAAAGCTATCAAAGTGGACAAGTCGTTGTGGTGGTGGTTTTGTGGGTAGTTTACTTGCAGATACCAATGCTCCAATAGCAGCTGAAAAGGGTTTTCGGCGGGTTTGAGGACAGGAAGTAGATCGAGGGATGCTGATGTTGGTACTAGTGCTAGTGTTAATGCTTGTGATGCTTTTTAAATCTTCTTCTTCTTCTTCTTCTTCGTTATCGTCGTCGTCGTCGTCTCCAGTGCTTTGAATGCTATCCGTAGTTTGGCTGGATAGACTACTGGAGTCGTCTGTTGTTCGGGTAGTAATAAGTGAAGTATCACAATTGACTACGGAAACAAGGGTGGTAGGATCTGAGCAGATTTGGGCTTTTAAAGCGTCACTGTTGCTTGGCTGATTGTAGTGGCGGGGTTGAAAGGAAATGACAGAGCTTTTGGTGATTGAAGTTGTCGAATGTGACTTGTGCTCTAATCGTGGTCGTTTTGGGACACGGACAAGACCTTTATTTATGTATGTATGAGTGAGTGAGTGGGTGTATTGATTATTCTTTGGTTTTAATTGAATTAAAAAAAATTATTGTATGTGTGGTTTACCTAGCAGCTTTGATACAAAGCGTGTGAAATGAGAATGATTCTCGGTAGGTGATTTGTCTTCTGTGACAGAACGGTAAAGCGGCAGTTTTTGAGCTTTCATTAAATTATTCAATAATGATAATAATAATATATAGATATGGAAAGATAAGGGGGGGTTAAAGAAGAGGGAAACCAAGAATCTGGAGGCCCTTTTTATACTTTTTTGTCTTTTTCTTAAAAAAAAAATGTTACTATTATTTTATGATTATTTATTATTTATTATTTATAACCAAAAAAGAATATAATAATATTGTGTGTTTCTTTTCTGCTAATAAATTGCAACAAGATGCATGACAAGGCATATATGGTTATAAAGATACAAAGAGAAAGAAAGACTTATTTTGGCTCAACCCCTTGTTTTCCTTTTTTTATGCCCTTCTCCTGTCTTTCGACCATCCTTACCTTCTTAGCCTTCTTCTATATCTTTTATTTTATATTCATTCATGTATTCATTTAATCATTCATGACATTACCAGACCTCCCACCCCTTAGTTTTTTACCACTGCTAGTCTTAAACGTGAAATATGAAATGCGAAATGCGAAATACAAATTTCAAAGTTTGTATTTATTTGTACAATACAGCACGAGGCAGGTATCCAAAAATATGCCTGCCTATTGTCATTGTCATTTCGATATTAGACTTGAGCCTGTAATGATGATCCTATAATAAGTTGAATACTTATATATATACATTATTTGCTTTGTTTTGTTTTGTTTGGCTTTGATTTGTTTGTTTGGCTATTCGGCATCTTTGAATCAAGAAGCATGTTAACTTAATAGAAACGCTAGTCCTTACAACACAACCAGTTAAACTTAAACTCAGGGTGGATTTTATTCTATACAACCAACAGCATGTTTCTTTTTAAATAGATAAGTGGATACTTTCAACTCAAAAGCCTTATCTTTCAGTGTCTTTATTACTATTATTTTATTTTATCTATCATATAATGAATTCAGTCATGTGAGTTATAAATCAATTCCAATCAACCGCTTTGAATGAACGAACGAACGAATGAATGAATGAATGAATGAATTGAATTGAATTGAATTATCTTTTTGTGTTTAAAAAAAAGACACAGGAGTACGGTTGGATCCAATGATGTCCAAATGCATCACTGATCACAGCTATCACAATTATCACAATTTTCCCTACCGATTTATCAGCCTACTTCCTCCAACCCCACCACTCTTCCTTTATTAGTCTCCTACAGATGATGCCATGTAATGCACTTTTTTCATGACAGTCCAATAATAACAATCAAGCAAAATAAAAACAAAATGCTGAGCGTGTGAACAATAAGTTAGATTATTGCAGTAACTATTTCTGCGTATCTTTAATAACACTATTCTATTTTATCTTGACTTGGGTTTTATCTGAACGCCTAGCCATGTGTGTCAATTTATATGATTTCTAATGGCTAAGAATAGAAAGTCAACTTGCCTTAAAAATCGAATAGAATATTCTTTTATTCACCTACTAACCCCAGAATCTCATTCATCAAAAAATATACAAGAAACAATCATTTCCTTAGATACAAAATTAAAGAAAGAAAGAAAAAAAAGGCTTGAAATATATAAAAAGCCAAAAGGACCAAAACTAGAAAGCAAATTCAACCACATCCTAATCTATGCTAAGCATATGTCCCTTGACTATCATTTATTGTACAACTGTTACTCAGTCACAGCATGTGCTTATGTGTTCCGTACAGGATTCTATCGACTACAGAAGCACAATCTCAATTGTCGTTAGACTTTGTTTTACATAAATCAATTTTGGTATAAAAAGCTCAGATATTTCCAGCTTTCTTTTTACTTTTAGATTTCGAAAGCATTTAGAAAGCGAGATTTCAGTACAAATCATGAATCTCCAGTACTTGGATATTTTGAGGGTTAAAATCTGAAATAAATTGAATATTACTTTGGTTGTCAAAATGAAACATTGAATGATAAGTATTAATACACGATAAAGTTTCTTTAATAATAATATAAAAAAATATAAGCTTTTAATCTATCAAAATAGAATTTATTCTCTCTAACAAAATTGTTGCTTAGATAAAATGGAGATACTAACAAGGTACATATGAGTCCTAAGAGTATCATCATTAATCCTAACAAGAACATCACTTGCTCACCTATACATACGTACAATACCTTCTTTAATTAGAGAAAAGAAATAAAGTAATTTCCAATAGAATAATTTCTGTCTCATTATCAATCGTGAATGATTTTGCATTTTCTATAAACCAAACTTTAAAACAAAAATGACAAGCTATACCTTGAAAGGGAAATAAAAAGGAGTGTTTAATTAATAATAAATTCCTATAGAATAACTGGTTAAAAAGGTGTATTAGGATAGTCTAGAAAGAGCGTGGCGTATGCTGTATAAGAAAATGATTTTAGGCTGATTTGTATATTCTAGAAAATAAGGAAATATGTAATGGAACGGAACAGAATTGCCCAATAACATTATACAGCCTTTTTGTATCATAAATGGGAAGAAAAGTAATGTAACATATATCTACTTTGACGTACCTTGTAACAAATGTCAAATAAAAGAAAAATAATAAACGTCATTCAACAGCAATACTCTCGTTTGATTAAATTGTACCATATCAAATCTTACTCATACAAGGAGAAAAATAAGACAACCATTATTCCATTCTAGATCGTATGCTATTACATAAATGTGATATAAAATTAAGAAGCGATTAAGGCAAACTCGTGTCCAATTCTGCAGACATGTCTTCTCTTCTTTACGCAATATTGTCTGCAATTGGACAATATACGCAGAGCAAGTAAGGGCTCCCAGTCATTTAGAAGCATTATTTTTGCTGTACTCATCCACTGTTGAATCATGCAATGAATAAATAGCGATTTAGTGTAGCTGGATTGAGTTTCATAGGTCATTTTCTTTTCTACAACCCTAAAGGGTTTTTGTACCTCTTCAAGAGATAAATTTTGAAAATGTTTAAACATTTTTTGGCGGGTGATATGGAGGTAGATAGGGAAGTTGCTTGAACATATATTACCTTTAACTTGATTGAAGTATGGCACAAGTTATTTATTATAATAATTTGGTATGGACAGGCTAAAAGTTAAAAAAAAAAGGGGGCAAAAAAAAGGGTAAAACAAGTTTATCCTGAACTTAGCCAATCAGACTAATTTATGACTGTCCGCACCTTTTTTTTTTTAAGAAAAATAGTTCCAAATTAGTGCAAGTACATAGGTAAAATTGCGCTTATAATTTCGTCTCTGTCATTAAATGAGAATCTTTTATCGCGAGTTTTTCTGGACCTTGCACCCTAGCCCATAGTTTTTATCAAAAACATGCTCTTCTTAACCCAAATAACAACGGAAGAATACTAGGCAATCAAAGTCGATTAAAAAATTTATCCTTTTTGTGCCCTTTCTTTTTGAAATTTTAATCTGTTCACACCAATTGATCTCAATACTATACAAGTAAAGCGATTGTAAGAGTCTTTTTTTTTCTTGGTGTACCGAATAAAATTGAAAAAGAAATGTCTTGCATAGAGTTAAAAGATGTGTACTTATTAACAAGTCATTCACGCCTAAAACTATTGATCATATGAATACCATATATTTGATAATACTTGGATATTTCTTGGAACTTTATCTAATTAATCCCGAAATTATAAAAAGCCTAGAAAACATCTAATAGTCAGAGAAGCTTAATAAATCACATAACAGTTGTCTTGGGCTATCTAAATAAAACTTGAAGGAAGTTATGATTAGATAAAATATATCAAAGCCAAACACTTCTTTGTTTGTTTCCGCTTAAATATATATATAAAAAAAAAGCTCCTCTCTCTTAAATGTACTCTGGACGGACGGAGATTACCTTTATATATATATATATTTCTTCTTCTCCTTATTCTATATTTGTGCGTGTGTGTAAACGAATGTGACTGACAGAATTTACCAGCAAATTCTACATTAGATGTCAGTGCAAGTCCCTCTTCCTTTTTTTTCCTAGTCATCAAGGCAGGGCCTATTCCTTTAAAACCAAGTTAGACCAACACCATGCCCAAGTGCACACGTAAAGGATGTGAGAAGGAGTTCAAGGAGGAGGAGAACAAAGACAATTGTAAGTGTCAAACATCTCTCACTTTTTTTTTCTTCTTTCTTTCTTTCTTTTTTTTTCGTAATGCTAACAAGTGTTTACTTAGGCTGTCAGTTCCATTCTGGTGCACCTGTTTTCCATGAAGGTGAGTGGGTTCTCTTAGACTTTTAGCAAATTAAGAAAAATTGAAATGAATTGTAATGTTTCTAAATTGAAAATGAAAATGATCTCAGGTCTTAAAGGATGGTCTTGCTGTGCCAAACGTGTCACGGATTTTAATGACTTTATGAACATCCCTGGATGTACATTTGGCTCTCATTCGACCGAGAAGCCTGTTGTCGCTGAAAAGGCACCCGAAAAGAGCGCACCTGCCGCAAGCCAAGTGACAAAGGAAGGTGTCGAGGTTTATGGTGCCCCTAAGGCCGAGGTAAAGAAGGAGGCACCAGTTGCTATTCCTGCTGCCAGCAGTGACAAAGTCGAGGAAGTGAAGAAGGTTGAAGAGGAAGAGGATGATGACGAAAGCATTCCAGTCCCAGAGGGAAAGACCTGCAAGAGGCGTGGATGTGGTGTGAGCTATAAGAGTGATGCTATCTCGCGTGGTAACGGACCCGAGGCTGTGTGCTCCTACCATCCTGGTGCTCCAGTTTTCCATGAGGGATCCAAGGGATGGTCTTGTTGCCCACGCAAGGTGCTTGAATTTGATGAGTTCCTTAAACTTAAGGGCTGCAAAGAAGGAAAGCACTTGTTTGTTGGCAGCAACAAGTCCGGGGAGGAATTAGTCGATTGCCGTACTGACTGGTATCAAACTCCTACTCACGTTATGCTGAGCATCTTTGCAAAGAATAAGTTGGACACTAAGGTTGTCTTTAATAAAGACTCTGTTGATATCGATGTCAAGATGAAGGATAACAAGCGATACAAGAAGCATCTGGACCTTTTCCATGTAAGTTAAACTATTCACTGATGGTTATGGTAGTAGCAACAACAACAACAAAAAAGATATTAATGGATCCATTAATCATTCAAACTATTTGATGTCCTGTAGACAATTGATATTGATCAATCAAAGTTCACTGTATTGGGTACAAAATTGGAGCTCAACATGAAAAAGACTGGAGGTGTGTCGTGGGCAGCTCTTGAACCTACAGCTGATGTCACCTCATGGACCACATTTGGTGTGAGTGGCGGTGGTGGTACCGTAGGAGCCAAAGAGGTAAGATTTGCAACCAAAAAAAAAAAAAGAATAGAGAAATCCTGTGTGTGTGTGAGGCATTATTCTGTGAAACAATAGTGCTTTTATAGTTTTTGTGTATTTATTTTTCTACCTTTTTGTTTGTTGGTTTTATAAATTACAGATGCAATACACCGATGATTCGCCTTTGAATCTGTCGAATAGAAAATAAGCTGAATAAATAAATACAGCGTTTAATTTAATTTTAAATTGGTGTAAATTTATTACAAATACAGGGTTTATTTATGCAACAAGGATCTCAATCATGAAAATTCAAAAGAAAAAGGTCCAAATGTGTTAGTCTTTCTCCATTATATTTAAGATCAAACTCACATAATATTATAGTAAAACAAATGGGTATCATGATTAAACCAGCTCTTTATAATATGTAGCTTTAATGGGATTTGCAAGCTTTTATTATTATTTTTTGGGTGGAATTTATTTCACGATTTAATATATACATTAATCCCAATATATTATTGTGTAAAATATCATACAAAAGTAATCGGGAAAACAGCTTACTAGTGAGCATTCTGTCTAATTGTGGATATGACTTCCTCGAATTCTATGATTACAAACACATTAATCATATAGTTATTAAATAGCGCAATCCCTCTCTTTCTCTTTCTTTTCTCAAATAGTACCACAGAGTGGCTTTCTTATTCTATGAGCCAAACAAAAGGGGTTGTTTTTTTTATAATCAACAGAGTATAGTAATATTAAAAGAAAAAAAAATTAAGGATGTATACCTTGCGTGTAGACAGAGGCTTTAAATAAATTACAGTAAAAAGGAAATACAAGGAAATATAATAATATAAATATAGTAATATAAAGTAATGGGACAATGGAAAATTCCAATAAGCCAAATCAATCGGCATTAATGATCCATAAAAGAAGAAGCCAGAAAAGAAAATGCTATGATTCTGAAACTGTAAATACCATACGCTGGCGTTCCCTTATCTCTTTTTCCTGTAGCCTTTTCTTTCTGGCGATTATACCTAATAAATCATCGCTGTCATCACTGTCATCGCTATCATCAGAAACATTCTTTTCTTCCATCATATCCATATTTGAGTCGTTTTCCATGTACGGAGTGGATGGCTGTGTGTTGACTGGAGAGATCATCCGGGGTGGAGCACTATATGTAGGCTGGGATGGAATCAATTGTAATACACGACTAGGTACATTTGGTGATAATGGATAATGCTGTGGTTGTGCCAGCTGTGGCTGCTGCTGCTGTTGTTGTTGCTGTTGCTGTGGCTGCTGCTGTGGCTGCGATTGTGGATGTATTGGCTGTGGAACACCATAGAATCGTGAGTCGTCTGATGGTATACGCATGTGATGATAATGCTTAGAAGGGATATTTTGTCCAGGAGAATGTGTGTGGAATGATTTTGATTGGCGGTTGTGGACATTTACAAAAAACGGTGTTCGGCTGTCTTGACTTTCGTATATTGGTGTGTGTTGCCTTTGTCCTGGGAGGGAATCGCCTCGCGTGTAAGAGTGATTAGATGTCACAGGGCTCACGGGACTGGCGGGATGTGTTAAAAGATCAGGCGTGGAAGATGACCGGTTAAGATATGCCTGCGAGAAAGATGTACTAGGGACAGTATCGACATACGGATAGTTACGACCATATGGTGTATTTGATTGGGTTTGGAAATCAGTACTGGAGATACTGGTGGTGAGAGACATATTTCGGGGGGTTAAGATGGTAGATGTGGTAGCAGTAGCAGTAGAACTATTTGCTTCTACTGAATGGTTCGATTTCCAAGACGATCCTGACTGGAGGGATACATTCGAAGAGCAAGACGCAGTTGATCTAGAACGATCGATCCCTTCAGTAAATGGGCTTCGTTGAGTGACAGTAACAGTAGAGGCATTTACTGGGAGGCAGGTATCAAACCCGCTCGAATCGCTTGGAGTTCGTCTAGAAGTGAAGCTAGGTTCTCTGTAATATGGTTTTCCATTATTATCGTCTTCAAAATCGTCTTCACTCACTGCAAGTGAATCCATAAACTCTGAAATATCCTCTTCTTCTTCATCGTCATCATCGATGGGAATTGCCGCACGAGGCCAGGTACCTAAAGTAATAGGAAGCTCGACCACTGATATATGTTCTTTTGGTGGATTAATTTTGCTAAAATTGACCCGAACACGTATTTTGTAATGTACGACGAGGGTGTTTTGCTTATATCGTATTGATGGTGGCGTAGATGTTGGGATTGATACTTGTGAGGAGATGTTTTGGGTGAAATTTTGTGCAGATGTAAGGTTTAAGTTGTATTCAATGCATCGTAATACATGCTGCTTTGAAACAGTGTTCCTGAAAATTATATCGAGTGTGAGATGTTTGTGCTGATTTGAGTTGTACAGCTTACTTTGCTGTGGCTACATCAACCATTCGAATTAGTTGAATCGTGATTCCTTTACTGCGGGTTAAAGACTCGAAATGGTTCACAGTAATATTCAGTGGTATCGTATCACCTAACCTGGTCGTCAGTCGATCAAATATTTGGGGGGTTCTTTGTTCTTTTCGTCTTACCTTGTGTATATCCTCTTCTGGGCATGTATAATTTTGCTGTGCATTTCTCCTTCTTTGCCCAAGGTAGGCTGATCTCAATCGTCTTCTCTTGAGGTGTCTGGTAACGTTCAACCATTGTATCAATTTTCTCAAGCATACGAACACAATATTCTGCTTTTGGACAGAGTGATTCTGGTATCATTGGACGATCATGAATGGCGGTAAGGGTATAATGGATACGGGATTTTCCCTTGTCGAGCTACAATAAGAAATATATATATATATAAAACTAAAGATCAGTGCATTATTCTCTTGTAGGATTTGTAAATGTTGCTGTTTGGCGGTTTGTTTTTTGTTTTTGTTTTTGTTTTTGAAATCCTTATCGTATACAATATATATATATATTATTACCTCCATAGAACTTGGTAAAGAGAGTTTTTCGGGTACAATAAACTCAAATGGAAAAGTGTGTTGTTTTGCTTCCAAGATGTGTGCTTTAATATCTGGGCCATTACCCACTGGGATAACTTTCACTTCTTCAAACAAAGTAATTATCTCCTTGGCTTTTATAGATAGAACAAGTTCTGCTGTAAAGCGTAACCGAATTGCGTTGGTTTTTGTCGGACTCTTTGGATGGATAATAACAAGACCTAGAACAATAAGAATCAACATTCCTGTAGAATCTATCTGGACGGTGTACCTTTTATGGCCTCATTAAGAAAGTAAAACTTCTCTTCATTAAGGCGAATGTCGATGGTCTTGTTGACCTTTGTACGATTTTTCCTCATCGAAATTGTAGACCGAAGTAAATTGAAAAATAATTGTTGAACGTGCGTGGTATTTTGTCCTCAAATAGGACATGTAAAATGGGCCGCTCACGGGTAAATGAAATTAAACGTAAGGGAAAATAAAAAAATACAATGGCCGCAACGCCACGACAAAAGCACCCTTAAATCATCAGATAAGAAACAGAGTCACGATATGAAATTGATTTCATTTTAAGAAAAATATACTTTGATTAAGTTGGCTTTCTTTTTTATTAAACAACTTGATAGTATGAAAATAATTTGCTTATAATAGGGTATTTCACTAGTCCTGGATGCTTGGCTGTTGAACGTAACAGCAACTTAATGTTAAAAATGATTGGCTGTAATGAATCTTTAAAAAATGAAAGCTGAGTATCCGAGCATCTAAAAAAAATAGTTAGATACTCTAAATGTCGTGATTTGGCCAAAATTTGCAAAAATTTGTACTTTATGTACAATTGATGGCAAAGTTTATATAGAAGCAAAGTCAAAAATAAGACATAATCAATCTATATAAAGGTAGTTACTTTGATACCAAATTATAAAGGTCCAACTTACTCGCGGAGAATTTGGGAAGGGATAATATATTTATGGTACTCTAATCAAGCGTATTGTATATATGAATTTTGACGTTATGAAAGAAAACATACCAACCAAGAGACATTAATGGTACTCGATAGTTTTTTCTTTCTTTCAATATTAGTTATTATTTAATGGCGCTTAACTTACCGCTACATTCAACAGCCAAGCACCCAGAACTGGTGAAACCCCCTATTATTAGCTAATGCTATAATAATACATGTATTATGAGAAAAGCATGGTTTTGCAACCTGGGCATATTTCACATAATTTCTGAATCATTATTATTTACATCTGAAAAGGTGATACGGGCAGTATTGGCTTATATGATAAAGTGGTCCAGGCGAGTTAAAAGAAAAAGAGAATATATATCGATCTCCTCGATCAAATCCTTGGCCCAAATGTTGGTATTTGGCAGCTTGTTCTCTAAAAAAAAAAATGAAAATAAAATAAAAGTGATGTGTAAAAATGGTCTTTATTACTTTCATATTTCGATGTTTATATGGATATTTCGGTAATTAATAAAGAAAGATAAGATTATTAGCAAGATATTGCTAAGCTATTACTAAGCTGTTGGGATAAACTATGCTTCTTTGGATAATTCATAATGAAGAAAAGAGAGAAATAGAAATAGATAAATATTGCTGGGGTTGATTGTTAAAATTCTTGTGCCTTTTAATTGATTTCTTCACCGGCTATAAGAATTATATTCTTCTTCCCGCCACGACTTGAGTAATTTGTTTACATAATTGATACAAAGAAAGATTTAGAAAGATAGGATATGTCTGGGTTATATGAAAGTTCAAAGACACACGCGATGAGCTAATAAAAATGAGAAATCGTCTACTCATCTAAGCTCTCAATGAATATAAGAATAGCGAATATATCTACTAAGATAATGCTCCCTGTCACAAGTTTAATATTGCATAAGAGTGGAAGAAATGTCATAATTTTATAGTAATAGTAAGGCGGCCAAGTAGTCCATATTTTAGCTCTATAGAGATCTCATAAAAATATTCCACCAAAAGAGTGAAAAAGAAAAAAAAGAAGTTAATCTTCAGAAACTTTTAAGGAGGTGGCGGTTATTACCTATACGGAATAAAACAACACTCGGGTTGGTGTTTGTAATGTTAAGTGCATGTCAATGCCTAATTGCGTGGCAATTCCTAATTGCATGTCAATGCCTGATTGCGTGCCAATGCTTAATTGCATACATGAGATGAAGAAAGTTAATGAAACATCATCAAGCTATTGATTTTTTTTAAAAGAAAAACTATACCTTTGTATTTATATTCAGACATGAGTTGTCAAGTGAAAGAAGATCGGCTAAACCAAGATTGCTAAAGAAGTTGTATTATTGATATATTAGAACTTAATAAGTATGATGACCATTGTTGGTACGAGTCTATATATACATATACATACCTTGCTTGTGAGAAAAAATAAAAAAAAATCGAACAGATTCCAATACTGAATATTGTATAAAAATATTCATTTATCTGTTTTTCAAGTGTATCCGATTTATCCCAAAAAGTAAAAAAATAAAGATTTTTTTGTCAAGACCTGCGCTTGAAGGCCGATCCACTCAAGTTTACACCCAAGCTTCTCAACAACCCTCATTCCTGCCTACTCGGCATGGCATCAAATTTACCATGACGGCAAAGTATCGGTGAAATGCTTTAATGCCAAACTGCTCGGGACAGGTGTCTGAGACACCCAAGTGAACAGCATAGCATTTACTTAGGCACCTTAACTTTGCTTCGGGTTCGTCCCTCATGTCCAGTTCTGTTTACCAGAGCGTGGGTTACAAGTATCAAAGTCTAAGCAATGAGGGACTTGAAAAGCACAGGGATCATTTCAACAGGAAGCAGTAAAATACAGGCGATTGTACTGGGTAATCTGTCGATTCTGCTGGAATCTACCTGTATTACCTCACGTCCAGGTGCTCAACGAATTTAAAAAACTCTACGCATCCAGGTGATACACCCTTATACTTGCACCTTTCTGTGACAATCTTGACATGCCCCAAAGGACAAAATCTGGAGAGCCAATATCCAACGTCCTAAGAAAATAGCATAAAGCTACCTCTGCGTTCCTCAGTCTTCTCCATGTTATGTGCCGCACAACACAGAAAAAACTGACGTGGATTTCATCCGGCTTTCGCCTTCATATGAGTGGCTCAGGAAGGTCTTTAACGTCCAGTATGCTCTACACTAAGAGCTACTTTCCCTTATGGTACTTGTGTTCAGTTGGTTTTTTATAAGTATATTTAGCCTTCGATGAAACTTTTCACCAGGATTAGGGAGTTTGTAAAACAACCCGACTCATCGGAAGCTACTTAACACAAAGACAAGAACTCAAGACAAGGTGAGGGGATTGCACCCTCCAGTAACCTTTTCCAGGGAGTGAAGGCTACTGACTTGTTGGTATGCCTGGAAAAGCAGTTCACTAGTTCACAATCCAGAGCAGTCAAAAGACTACTCCGGTTCAAACATTGGAGCTTCTCCATCTCAAACAATAAAGTCCAAGACGGAATCCCTTTTGGTTTCTTTTCCACTGCAGTAAATGCAGGTAGAATCGCTCAAAGTACGGACCAATTTTAGGCCATGGTACCTTGAGCGAACTCAATGACTAGACGCCAAAGAGTGCAGTGCGTTCAATAAAAAAACCAGAATCTCATATTAAGACAAGCCTTATAAATAAGGCGTCTACAATGAGCGAGTTGGAAAAGAGCCCGGAGACTCACTGTTAAAGACCATGATATACACATTTTGCATGAAAATGTTTACGTATATTCCTTTTGATATATCGTGACCGATAGAATACGAGGTACTCAGTGACCACTCCAAGAGTAGAGATATAAATAAAAATCGAGTATAAGGTTAATATACTTATTGTGTCAAAGTGTGTGCGCGTGTACGTTTACTTACCTAGCTGTTAACTGCGAAGGGTGTAAAATACTGAGCTGGTTCTCGGTACACCTCTCCATAAGCATACTTTGAACACTATCAAGAGAATAAAGTAATATAAAAGTATAAAGTGAGTATGTTAATTGAGTCAAAGTATGTATATATTGACTTACCACTCAGTGGACCATACATGGTATGAAGGCACCATCAAAAGAATGGTGGTTAACAGCTAAACAGAACTAGAAACTGCAATAGAAAAAAAGAAAACATCAAATCATAGTTAGCGTGTTGATCGTGTCAAAGTATGTGTGTATGTACGCGTTTACTTACCTAGTAAACAGCAGCGGAAGGCTTGAAAAGTACTTGTGCTAAAAAGCAAGACGGGACGGGACACTGGACACTGTGATAAAATAAAAGAAATATCGAATCATAGTTAGTGTATTGATCGTGTCAAATCGTGTGTGTGTTTGCTTACCTAGCAGATAACTGCATAGGGTTTAAAAAAGTACTTGTGCTTAAAAGCAAAACGGCACTGGACACTGGACACTGTGATGAAAGAAATAAAACATCAAATCATAGTTAGTGTGGTGATCGTGTTAAAGCATCTGTGTGTGTATTTACTTACCTG